GAATCGGAGCTCCTACTGGTTTAAGTACCGAATCAACCCTCAAGAGAATTATTTATCTACTTCTATCTCAAGAAGGAATGGATTCCATCTCGTATAATAACATTCCCGGCTACCTAGTTCATAATGTCTCCAAAATACAAGGAATAGGATTCAGGATCTCAGAATCCGTACCGAGTAAATCAAAAGACACAAATCCATATATAGGAGTCTGTTAAAAACTCAGGATTAAGATCATTCTATATATGATCATCAATAGACTCAATTAGAATTTCTATACTTAACGAAAATTATTAGAAATTCATATTGTGTCTGTGTCCTTGTTCCACATAATCTCATTATGTGAAATACACTCATTCAATATCTCGCCATATTAACAGTGTGAATAACATCGTTCCATTCTAAATGGGAATGACATGTATTAATAATGTTTTAATTAAAGATTCTGAACTTTAATTAAATTCATTATGAACACCATTTTTTATTATTATCCTTAAACATTATCCTCTCGCATATAACACTTATATACAACGTTTAAGGTCACATAAATAATCACAGAATTTTCATTTGATATTCATAAAATATTCATAAATATATGCACATAAAATAATGAATAAACTCTTTTATTAAATAAATAATAAATATCCTATTACATCTCATGCTTCTAGGACACCATTCCCAACAATTTCTTGCCAAAAAAAAGAAAAAAATAGAAAAAGAAGAAAAAAAAGAGTAATTTATTTTCCTATGCATTTTTTTGGCTCTTTGTTCATTTCTGTAAATTTCTGTTTGACCTGAATGAAATCCCAAAAGTAAGTTTATGGTAAGAATGGTGGAATGTTCTAGTAGTTTATTAACCTATCTTTTGGTCAATGTTCGTTTGACTGTTTGTCCTAAATTTTACCTTCCTCACATTGAGGGTTGATTGTTCCATTTCTAACTCCATGAGAGAAAACCTTTGCACTCAAATATTTCTGACACCTGTGAGATTAATGGTATTGAGACTTCTACTTGGTGAATTTTTCAAAGTTGTATGTGTTATGGTCAGTGGTAAGAAGGTTATGGTTTGGAGCACACACACACGACTCTAGAGTTATGACTGAAATAATCTTGATAGTATCTTTTGACTTCTTACTGACAGTTTGTTTGAAATACTCAGGTTTTCTTTGTGACATGATTTCTCTTGCGCTTGGATTGCTAGACTAGCAATAAGCTGGTTGGGGGTTGTGATTAGTGCATGAAAATGCACCCTAAATATTACTTTTGATTTATATAATATTAAAATATTTAAGCTTTAATTAAACAATTCCAATATTTTTATTCAGAATATTTTTCATTGAAATTTGTCTAGTTGTTGCTTAATTATTTGCAGATAAAAATCAGTGTAAAAAGCTACACAAAAATAAGCCATGAAAACCGTGTTTTCAACCACTCTGAGCCAAGCCTTTCAGCCGAGCCACACAAGCCAATCAGCTTAGCCGAGCCAACATCAGCGCTGTGGGCCCCACCAGTCAGCGCAAAAATCCGCGCCCGTTTCTTCCCGCCATCTCGCGCCTCGCGCGTCACTAGCACGCCACACCTCAGAGCGTGCGTTCCTTCCACGCAGCAATCAATGCGCGTCCCAACTTTCTCCCGCGTGGGTCCCGTGTCTGCTATGCCAGCCTGATTTCCCAATGAATACTCGCCAGCTGTCAACCGTGGATCCCAGCTGTCTCCAACCGCTAGCACACTTCTTCCACTCCGCACGCGACACGTGGCAACTCTATCCTTTCCTCCAACTGAGCTTTGACACGTGTCCAGATAAGGTGCTGCATCTGAATTTCTTCTCCGCGAGTTGCCAGATTTCTTCCCTAAATCATAAGTTGATTTCTCCTATTTTATGTGTAATTTTATTTTATTTCCTTTTCTTTTGTAATTTTCTATTTTTATTGTTTGTTTCCTTATTTGTCAGGCAACCTCTAAACACTATAAATAATAGGGTTAGCCTAAGGTTTTTGTAAGTTTTTAATATTCAGTTTTCTGTCGTCTTGCTATCATTCTCATATTTTCTCTTTAGAACTTGTGAGAATGTTTTGCAAGCTAGGCTAGAATTCTCTTGGTGAGGTTTGAGATGAACTTTTATTAGTGACCCAATTCGGGCTTTTGATTCCTTGTGCTGTAAATTTCAATATCTGAATGAATTAAATCTCATATATCTTTCTATTACTTTTCAAAATATTGTGTGTTTTATATAAGTCCAGTCATGCTTTTCTTATGTAATTTTGTCACGCATTGTGTTGTTATTTAAATTATTTTGTAAATTATCTTTTACTGTAATATTGTCAAATTGATATATTGTCGATTTTGGATAACTTGTAATAATAATATTTTCGGAGTCAACATAGAGATTTAATTTATTCGATTCTTTTATTTTGTGAATCAAAACTTGAATTGGTGAACAAAATATTAGGGATTCTCGACCCTTACCGTTTTTACTATTGAATTTCTTTCACACAAATCTTATCTCCTTTTTATTTGCAACAAAGTCTTAAAAACTCTTCTTTGTCATTAGTTTACTTGTTATTTATTTTTCTCTAACGTTTTTATTCTGCTAACCTTTCTTGTTATTTTGTTATCTCTCTGTGGATATGACCGCCCTTCTGTACTACAATTGACTGCTTGTGAACATCACTT